TACCCAGTACAGTACCTACTGTTCCAACTTGTTCTGGTGCAATTGTTTTTCTTTCATTTCCGGGTACTGTATCAGAGTTCCATTTAAAACAGTGTAAACAGCCTAGTGATGCCAATATCGATACTTTTATCTCGATAATTAGCAAGCTTATGGTAAGTTGTCTTATGGAGAAACTTTCTACAGCTAACCCATTTACCAATAGGTACATTAAATCGGTAGCGTTATCAAAAGTAAGTAAAACCAAACCACCTTTTATCAGCTTGAGCATCTTTGCTAATAGGGTTTTTATAGACATAGTGCTATACATGAAATAATAATCTTGGAAAACAAAAATCTAAATTAAATTATTTACATAACGTACAAATACTAATTAGGTATAGTTCTATGATTGAATAGGTAATTTTATAAAGCGATATACTTATCGATAGAAAGTTTTAATGTTTCATCCACATCACTTTTATTAGCCTACAGATGCTTCAGTTTCTTTTCTGCACTTTTTTTATTTAACATTGAATCTGTTTCGTTTAATTAATGTCGCTGAAATGAAAGTATTAAGTCAGCGTAATTAATTTTGTATAGTATCTACGTCGTTTTTTCTTTCACATGCATATGAGAGTGTATAAAGTCATGATAAAGGTTTTCTTTGCTATAGTTAAGTTAAGTTGTTGTGGCCAGGATCTTTGCTTGAGTCTAAAGACGTTATTCTGGATCCGGGTAGGTACTTGCTGAGTACTTACTGTAAGTATTACACAGATTTTTCCTCAAGTGTCCACTAAGGCGCTTTAGACTCACCATTGGGCATGCATCGTCGTATTTATATGGGATTAAGGAGGAAATTCGCATTTTCCTAACGCTGCGATAGCGCAGCACAAAAATGACGTCAAAACGGACGTTATATATTGTGTAAAGAGCCGAAATTGAGACATTGATAATAAGAAATCGGTTTAACGAAACATGAAGTTTACCTGAGTCTGTGTTGGCCAATGTTGAACACATCCGAGTGCTCAAGGAACTGGTAGGCATTAGGGTTGTACACAGGGTTGCTGGTCGACCCTGTCACGTGAGACTGAAGAGGTTGCAGCACCTGGTCTATCACGTGCATCACCTGGCAACAAAAGTATGATTGTGACCTTACAACCGAGAGGAGTGGGACTATACAACACAGGTGTAGGACTTATTTCTAAAGTGTACTTTAAATAAATAGATGACCATTTCTGAAAGTTATAATGTGTTTTTTTTATCTCGTCACCCAGAGAGGCGGATTGCCTTCCATTTATGATAATATCATGTAGTCCAGGTTAGTGATACAGTACCTGTCTCTTGCCCAGGCCGTTGGTAGCCTGGTAGGACCTGGACACGTCGATCCTGGCGTTGTTGATGTAGATGTCATCCCGCGCGTCCTCCCGCCGTCTCGTCACCCAGAGCGGCGGGTTGCGGTCCATGTTTGATGGTATCGCGTAGTCCAAGTTCATAGTTAAAGTACCTGTCTCTTGCCCAGGCCGTTGGTAGCCTGGTAGGACCTGGATACGTCGATCCTTGCGTTATTGATGTAGATGTCATCCCGCGCGTCCTCCCGCCGTCTGGTCACCCAGAGCGGCGGGTTGCCGTCCATCTCTAATGATATCGCGTAGTCAAGGTTCATAAGTGTTGGAGGTTGCATGTATTAGCGCTGGCTGACTACCATAGCAAACCTAATCTGTCGCATGTAAATGAGACGTTGTCACTTTATCAACAAGAGAATAAAATGGTGTGCTACTTATAATCCACTGTGTTTATATAACTCCACGGACCTATTTAATCAATAGGTTATGTGCTTATTTACGTGAAAAGTAGCATAAAAAACCGATACCATTTTTCTATATCTATATTTTGTTTTGTGAGTGTATTTTAATGTTTTAGTGTAAAATGTCAGATGACAATTCTCCAAGCATCTGCGGTATCAAAAAACTCAAAGGGTCGAGCGATTATGCAATATGGAAATTCGCGACCCGAAACTACCTTGAATCTAAAGATTGGTATAAGGCAGTTGAGTATGAAGGTACGGAACTTCCGGCCACCTTAAAAGATACCGACAGAAAAGCAAGGACTACACTATGCCTCCTCATCGAGCCAGAATGCTATGCTCATGTCTTCAACGCGACAACCGCAAAACAAGTATGGCAAAATTTAAAAACCGCATACGAAGATAAAGGATGGGGGAGGCCGTTGGTAGCCTGGTAGGACCTGGCCACGTCGATCCTGGCGTTGTTGATGTAGATGTCATCCCGCGCGTCCTCCCGCCGTCTCGTCACCCAGAGCGGCGGGTTGCCGTCCATCTCTGATGATATCACGTAGACCAGCTTCATAAGTACCTGTCTCTTGCCCAGGCCGTTGGTAGCTTGGTAGGACCTGGAGACGTCGATCCTGGCGTTGTTGATGTAGATGTCATCCCGCGCGTCCTCCCGCCGTCTCGTCACCCAGAGCGAGGGTAGCTTTTCTTCTCTGATGATTATAGTAGGTTCGTAATATAGTACCTGTCTCTTCCCCAGGCCGTTGGTAGCCTGGTAGGACCTGGCCACGTCGATCCTGGCGTTGTTGATGTAGATGTCATCCCGCGCGTCCTCTCGCCTTCTCGTGACCCAAAGCGGCGGGTTGCCGTCCATCTAGGATGATATCACGTAGACTAGCTTCATAAGTACCTGTCTCTTCCCCAGGCCGTTGGTAGCCTGGTAGGACCTGGCCACGTCGATCCTGGCGTTGTTGATGTAGATGTCATCCCGCGCGTCCTCCCGCCGTCTCGTCACCCAGAGCGGCGGGTTGCCATCCATCTCTGATGATATCGCGTAGTCCATGTAAGTAATATAGTACCTGTCTCTTGCCCAGGCCGTTAGTAGCCTGGTAGGACCTGGCCACGTCGATCCTGGCGTTGTTGATGTAGATGTCGTCCCGCGCGTCCTCCCGCCGTCTCGTCACCCAGAGCGGCGGGTTGCCGTCCATCTCTGATGATATCGCGTAGTCCAGGTTGGTCAGGGTTATTGCTAGGTTTGCTGTAAAAAGATTATTGTATAAAGTTTCCGTATATTATTGGAATCACAATTTGTGTTACTTTTTTTGTGACAACGGCAGGGCTACAATGAGTTTGAAGCATAACCTTTATAAGGATGTAAATGATTTATTTATTTTTATTTATTTTATCATTCAGGACACATACAGTCATATATACGAAAAAAGTATACAACAAGTATTTAACAAAAAGACCTGGAGGTCCATAAAAAGAACATAAAAAATAATTACATGATCATAATTAAAATGATGTTTTTAATTATGATCGGAAAGCCATGTTTAGTTTTTGTATATGAATAGCATCAATCCGCTGAACTATTTTAGAAAGTGCCGCTCTAATCAGGGGATTTCAGTGACGATAATTCATTGTAACAAGAAAACGACGGTGCAGGTAGTCTGAAGGATGGTGGGGACGGGGCCCTCGATAAACAAAGACGCTCTACTATTTTGTACTATAATTTAAGCCAATTTGGGTAAGTGGGGTTGAAGGCAATTGATCCACTTACATAAACTTTTACAAGGTTGTTAACAACTTACGTAAACTGAGTCACAATTTTATACGGCTTCTTATCCACGACATCTTTATGAAACGAGAGAAAATAAATAAGTAGGTAAACTTATTTATGTTTAAAATTAATAAAGGTGAAAGTAAAAAGGTGAAAATTAAAATGAGTAAAAAGGTGAAAGTAGTAAATGTTTAAAATTAATAATGCAGCTTGGTGCCGGAAAGAAGTCAAGAATTTTAAATCAAAGGTTGGGAGAACCGTGCTCTTAAATAAACAGAGCAAGTGCCTTTGGGAGTTCCGCTGTAACTGTGACTGAAATATCGAGAGCGGTGGATTGTGGTACCCCAGACGATGATGTCGGTTTGCTTCCTTTTTGAGCGCCAGTCCGTAACGGGCCATTATTTTTTCATTGAATTTCCTTTAATAATTCTCGTCTTTCATTTTAAATCAAAATTTTGTTTAGAGAACTAGTTCTATTTGTTTTGATTTATTTGAATTTGTTTGAATAGTATTTGTTTCACTTTTCTTGTTAGGCCACATCAAGTTCGAACTCCGGAACGTTCCCTTGCTCTATAAACACTGTAAGTCAACATTACGATTTACTAGGTACTTGCATTATCAAATGCATCGTAACATCCCAAGCGGCAAGTTTCGTGAAGGAAATTCTGTAGTTATGGCCCGACTCATATGGTTAAAAGTCTACAGAGCCTGGGAGACGAATGCAATCATACCATGCACACTCTAGGCACATTCGATAAAGTTTCATCTGCTGAGTTGGAAAAATGAATTCTTGTCTTTCATAGAAATTCCCATGTTGAGAATAGGGAGAATTATTCCTATGAATACCTCCATCTCCAATGTGCCTACTCTCAGAATTTCATGTTACCATATAAGAATTCCATTTACAACTACTGCTTTACATCATCTGTTTAACTCTATAGTTACGAAATGATAACGTGAGTGGCAACCAACGAGATTCTTTTATTTATGTTGCAATTTGCATCTAATACACCTAGCTTAGCTATTGATCACCTAAGTGAGAAAAGAGCCACCTGCTGATGGAAAAAGGTAACCGTACATACCTACCCCGTTGCCCCAACAGCATAGCCACCTATCTAGGTTATTCCGCCAGTTTCCTACCGCCAAACAAACTTACTGCATAATGGCATCGTGAAGTTACATTTACTATGTAACATGAACACGCAGAACACATCTCCCGTTGACGGCACGCCAGGGATTGCCTTACTTAGTAACCTCTGTGCGAAAGCTCTCAGCCCGTTCTCACACACACCATTGCTCCTACCGCATGATTTCTTCCGGTGTTTTGCCGGATCCGGTTGTCTGACGAATGGAAATTACGTAATCCGTACTGTATTGGATTTTTATTTATTCGCTGGATCGTCGCTTCGATACGAGCATCGAAAGGTTGAGAAATTCACCAGGGTCCGCTAGGCGCCCGTAGCTCAGTTGGTAGGGCGGTGGAACGGTGATCCACAGTCCCAGATTCAAGTCCCGGCGGTCGCTAGTGAATTTTTCAATTTTCTCATTTTCAATTTATGATATGGTGGCTGTCACGAACCACAATTATCATCCGGTAAACTATGCAATTCGCCTCATACGATGACGTTATTTACTTATTACACCCCCGTACGTACAGTCGCAATAACGTACGTTACGTACATATTGTGCAGAATTTGGTTACAGCTTCTCGCTTTGTGGTCTTATTGAATACAGTTTGCTACAATGTAATCAAAATACTATACAAACTGTTTAATTACTAACTAGGTTTGGGACAACAGCGTTTCCAACCTAGCTCCACACTAAAATTTATTTTACTGTACGCGATAGTAGTTCCACTGTGAAAATGAAGATTTAATAAGAACTGTTGAATTTATCCTTACTCAAGTGTGTAGGTATTTCGATTTAAAGTTCGTTTTGGCTCCACAATTAGATGGTAGCAAAAATAAGAGAACATAATTTATAAATGTAAACTATTTAAATGTATAAGACGTAATTTATTTATGACTTTTGTATATATAGAATGTACCTACATCTAGGTACCTGCATAGTGGCATCTGCATGCATGTGATGTCTGTGGCCAGGGATAAGGAAATAATACGCGTCCGATCCGAGCAACCGTTTATTGTAGACTGAATAACTACCTACATACAAATTTATAAGAGTACCTATACCTCATTATCTTCCCCCCCAAATAACCCCCTTATAATTATGTACGACACATATTAATCAGTTTTCTTAAATAATTTACAAAAATAGTAACTAAACAAATATGGTACTAACTTTTTTACTAAATAGCAAGCCTAGAATAGATACCAAAGTTATAATTTATGTATGAGCGACCAACCTATCAATAACCTAACCAATTACATTCTACGAGTACCTTAAAATTATATTTAAACCATTCTTTGTTATTTGTATTTCTAGTAGTTAATACATTTATTTGCAAGCCTAGGATTATGAACAAAAGAGAAAAAATACCTAAAGACTAGGTTATCCCTACTCTTACTATACTAGTAAGTATATTATAATTATAATAACTTAAAATATTCGTCAAAACCGAATCGTACAACCGGTTTAGTGACCCGTCGAGTGGCAACATCACGAGTACCCTGAGGTGAATTATTAGGTGGTGCTGCATCTGAACGATCAGATGACACCAATGCCGCGCGCGCTGACACTGCTGAAGCACGTGAGCCGGTATTTAAATCTTGCGCAGCTGTTTCTAAACGCGTGCGCAACTGATCTGTGTGACGTGACCAAATAAAACCATCCTCAGTCTCAACTTCATACATATTAATACCCTTCCTGTTTTTAATGACCCCTTTTGCCCACTTCCTACCTACTCTAAAGTCGCGAATCCACACCGAGTCGCCTTCCTGCCACTGACGTATTTGGGTATTATTATTACCTTCCACATTAGGTTTATTAGATACCTTTTGTAACAGATTATTTTTGAGTAAATCTAACCTACTCCTTATGTCTCGCCCTAACATAAGCCTAGCTGGCGTTTCACCCGTTGTAGGGTGTTTACAGTTCCTGTAATCCATCAGGTACCTTTGTAGAAAATCAAAATGCGGTACGTTTTCTTTTCTGCCTTTTAAACGCCCTTTAACAAAACGTACAGCATTCTCTGCTTCGCCGTTAGACGACGGATGATACGGAGCCGAGGTGACGTGCTTAATTGCATTTTTATTCAAAATGTAACAAACTCCTCGCTCGTAAGGGTGGTCCGTTATCGGAAACCAACTTTCGTGGCACACCGAAACGAGAAAATAATTCTTTTAATTTGCTGATTGTGTTTTTTGCCGTAGTTGTTGACATATAAAAGACCTCGATCCATTTTGAATGTCCGTCTACTACTATTAAATAAGTATTATTTTTATACGTGAAAAAATCAATATTTATTCGCTCAAAAGGCTCAGTAGGCCAGGACCAAGGAATATCAGCCGACTTAGGTGGCAAATCTGCCGTTTCAGCACATGTCACGCAGGAAGCACACATCTTCTCAATATCCTCGTCCAGCCCTGGCCACCAAACGAAACTCCGCGCGAGCCCTTTACATTTAACTATACCGAGATGTGCTCCATGTATTTCTGCCAGCACTCCAGCCCGTAGCGCGGTCGGCACCACCACACGGCAGCCCCACATCAAGCAGCCACCCTCCACATACAGCTCGTGACGGCGCCGCCAGTACGTCATCAATTCTGGGTTATCGGTAGGTCCCGCGTCTATCATGGATGTTGGCCAACCTGACCTAACGTACGCTAATACTTTTTCAAGCAATTTATCTTTAGCAGTAGCTGCTTTAATATCAGACGCGAGAATTGGAAAATTATTTTCTACAAATTGAATATACATATCATCGTCATTACAACCACCTGAAGGTCGAATAGGTAACCTTGATAACGCATCGGCGTGATTGCGCTCTGATTTAACGTATTCTATGTCATATTGATACCCTGACAGTAAAATTGCCCAACGAATCAAACGCCCCGCCGCCGTATGGGGCAGGTCTTTTGAACCAAAAATTGTCGTTAGTGGTTGATGATCCGTCCGTAATGTAAATCTTCGTCCGTATAAATAGCAATGAAACTTCTTAACACCGAACACAATAGCTAATGCCTCACGCTGAATTTGGCTGTAATTAGCTTCGGCCGCGGTGAGCGTTCGCGACGCGAAAGCGACCGGCCGCTCGCCCTCCTCCGTGCGCTGCGTCAACACGGCGGCTACCCCGCGCCCACTCGCGTCACAAGATAAATACAGAGGCAAATTCTCGTCATAATGCATGAGAACTGGACACGACGTCAAAGCCTTTTTTATCGCTTCGAAAGCGACTTGTTGCTCCCTCGACCAATACCAGGAAACATTTTTTTTTAATAGCTCATATAGAGGTGCCACAATATTGGAAAACCCGTCAATAAATTTAGCATAAAAATTTATCATCCCAATGAAAGATTTTAACTCAGTCACGTTTGTAGGTTCCGGCGCGTTTAGTACCGCTTCTATTTTTTTATCATCGGTTCTTATACCTTGCTCAGATATAACGACCCTAAATACCTAACCTCATTCGCGCGAAAAGGTACATTTTCCTGACGAATTGTTAACCCTTCCTTAGCTAATCTTTCAAAAACTGTATTTAAATTTTGTAAATGTTCTGCCTCCGTTTTCCCTGTTATCAAAATATCGTCCAGGAAATTTGAAACATGTGGAATACCAGCTGTTATTCGCTCCATTATACGTTGGAAAATGGACGGAGCTGACGCCAAACCATAAACTAATCGGTTGTAAACATATAACCCCCTATGAGTATTTACCACAGTATATTTTTTTGAGTCGTCTAAACAAATCTGGCTGTAAGCCTCTGAAAGATCAATTTTTGTATAACGTTTACCCCCACTCAGATTATTGAATAAACTTTCAGCGCGAGGAAGTGGATACTTATCAACTTCTAACACAGGGTTAACTGTACTTTTGTAGTCCCCGCATATTCTTAGTGCCCCATTACTTTTCAACACTACTACCAAACATGAAGCCCAGTCTGAGGAATGAATAGGAGAAATAATACCTTCGTTTTCCATGCGCTGCAGCTCCGCGTCAACTCGCGGGCGCAGCGCGAGCGGCAGGGGCCGCGCTCGTCTGTACACGGGGACCGCGCCCTCGCGAACTCGTAATGTTGCACACTCACTTTGTAACTTTCCTAACTTATTGCTAAACACCGTAGGATATTTTCGTACAAATTCGTCCTTATTAAACGTAACGTCCGATTTTAACGCTTTTACCATCACTACGTCCAGCATACCTAATCTTCTTAACCACACACGTCCTATCAATGGCACGTCGCCATCACGCATAACAAATAACTTTAGGTTTTCAACCTTATCACCGAAACGAACATTGACGCGCACATGTCCTAAGCACTCGATTGATCTCCCGTTGTAACTTTTAAATGTCATGTTCCGGTTTGGCAATAACTGATGTCCACCGTAATAGTTATTTGTTCAACAAGAAAGCAAAGTTGCTTTTTGCTGCGAGTGCTAATTTTGAAACCCGAGGTAGCGAAGGATACTAAAATTGAATCACGAGCGTAGCGAGTGATTCAAAAGTAGTATCCTGAGCTCAATGAGGGATCCAAAAGCACGAGTTGTAAATGTGTTTGCTTTCGTGTGGTACACACAACTTTTCACCTCTGCCAGTAAGAAAATTATGTTTTTAAGGTTTTGTTCTTTATGGCTAGGCGAAGGGTGTGACTATACTGCCTAGAATTTAGTCTATAAATAATCCCGCCAAACAAATTTTCAAAGATGCGTTCAGAAATTTTACAAAATGTCAATATTTAGAAGATTTCGTTCTGAAATCGCCGCCTTTATTACGACTTGTTTTTGAAATCTTTAGTGTTAAATTAGATGTTCGAAATTCAAATTACTTTTCTCCACTACTTTTCTCAACAAGTTGAGAAATGTGATTTGAATTTCGAACGATGGTTAAAGACGACCTTTGCCGACTAAATTTTCGCAGCCAAATAGTTCTTTTCAAGCTGGTGAGGTGAAAAGTTCTTTATACATGACGTCACTGATACACGCGACTGGGGAACCGGTATCCACGTGCATGCGTAGACGACGCCCCTCCACCTCGACGTCGGCGATTACTGGCTCACTGTCCCTGTGCTGCGTATGCGACTGAACCATCACCTGCACATTATACAAGCCGCTCGGTCCATCGCCATACCCATCATCCTCCTCACTATCGTATGAAAACAGCTGATCGCCGCCGGACCTCCTTTCGCCGCCGTCCGCAACATCCAAATCCAAACGATAAACCGGCTTAGACTGTCTATCTAACTGTGCTTTTGGACACGCACGTTGAATATGTCCCTCTTGTAGACAAATACGACAAGTGTATTTCCGGAACTTGCACGTTTCCCTTGTATGTTCCGGGCTTCCGCATGAAAAACAAGACCGCCCTCTTGCCGATGTAAACAAACGGGGATCGCGCGTGGTGCGGCC